CCAGTAGTTAATATTGTGGCTTCGTTTGACTTTCTTTCTATGTTCAATCATGATTGTATAAGGGAACAATGTCTTAAATATACAAGTATACCATTTTTTTCCTTGGCACCCTGACGTTATATAATCGTGGTTGAAAGTCTAACTATGGTCAGAACAAATTTAATTTTAATAGACAAAACAATATTATATAATGATCAATTAAATTTTGTCGATTAATTATTTCCGGAAGAAAATAAGATTATTGATATTTACTTTAATATTTACTTGAGTCATAATTAGAAACGAGATGAAAATCTGAAATTTTTTGAGGAAAACACTTCCCTTGTTGACATTTGATATGAAAAAATTGTTATTATATATTATACTATTATAATAATTATTATAAATATATTATTAATAATTAATGTTATATATTTTAGATTTCTTATAAATACTGTTTTTATACATAAATAGTCGATCCAATTACCATAATCCCTTTTTGATCATTATTTACATGTTTTTCAAACAATTGCAAATTTCTTTTCAATTTGAAATAAATATTTTTGGGTAGATAAATAATTCAGACTTGTCGCCTGAAATATGAGTAATAAAATACCTCCAAATGAATGAACGTTTTGTGTATACAAGGTCAAGTAACAAAAATCCCTAATCAGCACATCCAGCTGATTGCTGGTGTAAGTATAAGGCAATTAAAATTTATGACGTCTGGGAATGTAGTATCATCTTTCAAATTAATAATAATATTAGAATTGCATAGTATAATCAACGATAGTATGCATAGATACAGTTAGTCGAATTTGGGAAACTGTATTAAAATAAAATCACACTTGTGTAATTTGATACAAAATTAAGCTTTTTGTACAGTAGACTTGCGATTATCTGAGGTAATAGGTAATTGGGATCGTGACTACCTCGGATACCGAAAGAACTCTGTCACTGAGATTGGTTATACTGATAGAAAAATGTGTACCTACCTATGTTAATAATGATTAATGTGTTTATTTTAATAACTAAAAATTGATATAAAAGTAGTATAAAAGATAAAAAAAATTAATTTATAAATGTTTTAAAAAAGTCTTTGATTGATTTTTGTTTCAACTTCATTCCTCTTTTTGGGGCGGCGATGTTGCGCCAACGTTGAAAATGAAAGACGTCTAATGGTGTTGATTCTTCTTGTTGCTCAATGTATACGAGAGCTGCTTCAAGGGACTTAAATCCTTCGGAATGAGAAATCTTTTGAGTTATCCCATCTGTATCTTCTTCTTCTTCATGGGTGACGTTTAGACCTAGATTGGCAATTGTATCATCTGTCAGTTCCACTTCTTCATCTAGATTCCTCCAATCGATGATGTCTTGGTTTACGATTGTTTGTTCTACTGGTAATTGATTGGCTAGGTGGGCTATAGAGTAGTGGACCTTTTTACGTCGTCCCAGGCAGATGCAATCCAATAGCAAACATCTTTAACCGTGATCTTCTTCAATGCCTCAATTACAGTCAGCCCTTCATCCAGTTTATAGTTAGCAGTGGCTGAAGATATGCAGAGTACCTTGATATATGCAGACGATATAGTCCTGATAATAGATAAGAAGGAAGAGTTACAGAAGATGGTTGAGAAACTAGATAGAAAAGCGACAGAGATAGGTCTACAGATGAACTATAGTAAAACCAAGACTATGACAAACCAAGAAGACCAATTAGAAATAGTAGTCAAACAGAATAAATTAGAGCAGGTGGCAGAATACATATACCTAGAACAGATAATAAAGCTGAACAGGGACAATCAAACAGAAGAAATAAAAAGAAAAACTAGACTAGCATGGGCCTCATTTGGTAAACTATCATAATATATTCTAAAAAATAAAAAGTTCCCTAAATATATGCGAACGAAAGTATTCAACCAGTGCATTTTACCAGTTATCACATATGGCTCACAAACATGGACTTTCACAAAGGAGAACATCGACAGAATATCCAAAACACAAAGAGCAATGGAAAGACAGATGCTGGGTATCGATCTTAAAGACAGGAAAAGAAACTCATGGATCAGAGAAAAAACAAAGGTGAACGATGTATCAAGACAGGTTGCAAAACTTAAATGGAACTTCGCCGGTCACACTGTCCAGCAAAAAGATGAAAGATGGAATAAGCGAATTCTACACTGGAGACCATGGGAAAAGAAAAGAAAAAGAGGAAGACCACAGATGAGATGGACTGACGATCTTAAGAGAAAGGCAGGAAAGGACTGGATGTAGATCGCCCAAAATAGAGACTAACGGAGATTAACAGGGGAGGCCTATGCCCAAGAGTGGGCGTCTAAGGCTGATTAGATAGATAGATAGATAGTATCTGAAGAAGCTTCCGCCGATAATTCCTCTTCATTCCTTATATAACGCTTTGGTCTAAGGTTGGATGAGAGATGTTACATGGGGTGGAAGGAACACAGCTTGTATGTCACTACTAATCAATTCCCTCACATATGGATGGGATCGTGCGTTGTCCAACAACAAAAGCTTTTTGGACCAATCCACTACCACCACTCACACTTCGGTTTACCCACTGTTCGATTTCATTCGGCTTACGCTTCCAATATCCAACAGTTACTTCTCCGACATCTAAATCTAAAGAAACCTTCTTTATTGATTCACCCTTGCCCAACCTCTTAATTGTATTCACTTTTGTTTCCAAAGGTGCAATTACTCTCTTTCGCTTTCCACTCATATTGCACAGAAAGATTCTCTCTTACACTCACAAAAATCAACTTATGAAAAATTAATTATGAAATCGAAACTAATAACTGGAATAAATTCACAAAACAGTACATAAAAGGAAAAATATTACCGTACAGATACTTAATTTGACGATCTGAACGACAGCAAACAAATCGGTAGTTCAATTCACATTGATTAACATAGAAAGGAACAGGAAGTTGTAGACAAAACACCAGACAGAAATTTCTGGACATGAAATCTCTTTCACATCAGCTTGACCTAAAGCATACCTTACAAATAATTCTCTTCTTATCAATAATCCAAAATTTTCAATTGACTGCCCATATAACAGCTGCCGATATAACTTCTGACCATCGACCCCTTTTTTTATTTATGAAAATAAATTGACTGATGTAAATAAATGACTGATGGGTTAATAAATTATGAAATTTACAGGTGTATATTTTTTATAAAATATATAGTTTTTTACAAAACTAATATGCACCATTTAAAATGTTTACAAAAAAAAACAAAACAAAAAAAAACAAAACAACAATTTAACTTCAAAGGTAAATGAACCTCAACGCAACACGATACAAAAATTAAAAAATGATATGGAATGATCCAATTATCCAATCCAAAAATTAGAATTTGTGAAACTTCAAATCAAATAATACGATAGCGCAATTTCAACTTACATTGCAGAAGACTGCCGACCGAGAGCGAACTATACCGATTCTCCCGATCGTATATTATATTCCAGTTCCAGTACTTGGCCTCGTTGGCAACACTGTCGCTGTTCAGATAATTAAATTTCGAGAAAATCAAAATATTAAAATATGATGCACGTGCTGCCATCTATTCAAGAAATTGTTAAACGTTAGTTTATTTGAACACCACTCATTTTAACTGCGGCGTGAACATACCCCCTTAATTATAAACATATTTAATTAAGCAATGTGCATAGGCAACCAAACATACACTGTGTTATTTGACATTTTTACATATTTGACATATTTATTATTTGGGATGTTTAAATTTAAATATAATTACGGAATTCTGATCTGTAAAGCCTAAATTTCCATAAGGTTCCCACTAGAATTTTCTGGAAAACGTCAATACACAAGACAGTTAATCCTATTTGCATGGTAGATTATTCCAGAACTTTCATATATTAATGAGATGAAGAGTTTCGAACATGATTTATTGCTGGAATAATCTGGAATGATGTCATGATATAAATACCAGGTAATTTGGAGCAGGCAGTCATTAAGTTACAGTCAATTATTAAGATACAGTCAATTATTAGTGAGTTAGTTAGAAGAATTCAAGAATTAAGTTACATTAAGTCAGTCAGAAATTAAGTTACAGTTACTAAGTCAGTTACAGTCAATTATTAAGATAGTAAAAGGCATTAATTAAGTAAGAAGAAGTCAGTCAGTCAGTTACAATTGATTAAGTGAGAAGAATTCGTGAAGTGATTAAGTTAAATTAAGTTAGAAAAAAGGATTAAGTGAGATGAAGTCAGTCAGTCAGTTACAATTAAGTTATTAAATTAGATTTATCAAGAAAGTTAGTTCAAAACAGTTATAATTAATTTAAATTAGAAGAAAGGATTAACTTAGAAGAATTGATTAAGTCAGATACAGTTGGAGAGTATGAGAGTAAATTAATTCAATAGTTCAATACAGGAGTATAGTATATTATATGGAAATTACAAGAATTTTAAATTATAATATCTATATGCAATTTCACAAATACAAGGATAACCGAGGCTGATTAAGAAGATATTTAGCGGTGATTATAACTTTGATTTTGGAAAACTTTAGGCATTCAGTGATAGAAAGTTACCAAATTTTGTTAATATTAGATATATATATATATATAATATATATATATATATATATATATATATATATTATATATATATATATATATATATGTCTGTTTCATAATAGTTATAATAAAGATAATTTAAAAAAGTACTTACAAACTAATTATTTGAGAACCGCGATAAAAACCCTATACTCATATATTTTATTTTAAACACTCATTGCTCATATACAAACAAAACATCATAACAATATATATATATATATATATATATATATATATATATATATATATATAAATATATATATATATATATATATATATATATATATATATATAAATATATATATATATATATATATATATATATATATATATATATATATATATTTATATATTTATATATTTAAATCATCTAGTTATTTTACTATCTTCATGCCATTATTTAACTGTTGTAGGATTGGAGGACCAATTACTTAGCGTAGTAGTTCGAAATGAGCGGCCGGACTTGGAAGAACAACGAGAACACCTCATAGCGGAAACTAGCACGAATAAAAGTCTTTTATCGGAGCTGGAAGATTCCCTGTTAAGAGAACTTTCCACCACCACTGGTAATATGTTGGATAACGTAGAGCTGGTAACCACTCTAGAAAATACCAAGACTAGAGCAATCGAAGTAATGGAAAAATTAGCAATGGCTAGCGAGACTTCTAAGGACATCGATAAGCTAAGAGACGGATATAGATCCGTAGCAAAAAGAGGCGCAGTGCTTTTCTTCGTTTTATCAGACATGGCTGGTGTTAATGCCATGTATCAATATTCTTTGGAATCGTATTTAGAGGTAAATACTTTTGCAGGCTGTTTTAAATTAAAAAATATAACTTCGATATTTTTAGGTTTTTGCTTCTTCTTTGAGAAAGGCTCTTCCCCACACCCTTTTGACAAAAAGACTGGAGAATATAAGAAATATGTTAACAAAGAATGTGTACGACTACGGATGTACCGGTATTTTTGAAAAACACAAATTACTTTACTCATTCCAAATGACTTCTAAATTGGAACAGAGTGAGGATAGGGTAAACCAAGCGGAAATCGATTTCTTCATAAAGGTTTGTATACTTATATTTCAGAAAGTACCAATTTAGTTGCTTCTAGGAAATACTGATATACTATATGATTTGAAATAAAAATTATTAATAAAAATGAGCTTCATAAACCGAGAATCCAGTTCGAGACTCATTGGTAAGGTGTCGATAAATTTCAGCTCCGAAAAAAACGAGCTTTTTGTTGGGTTATACCAAAAATTCAAATACAAGTTTGTATTAAGAGTGAAATTAAAGTGTTTTCTAATTACAGAAGAGAAAAACTGTAAGTACAATTTTTATTTTATCCAGATAAAACCATTTAAAGGATTTTATTGAAAACTAAACAACAGAAAATCTATTTTTATTTCAAATAAAAACGCCGATAAGCCGGCTTAATTACCTTAAGACCGTAGCGGCTCTTAAGAAATTAAAAATTAAAAATGGATAGCAACTTAAAAACAGACACAGTAATCACCAAACCATTATTAACATTTTCAACACCAACCTCTTCTTCAACATTAACCTACTCTAACGCCGTAAGCAACTTTAACTTTCCATCCAAAGACCAAGCAATTGTTTTATCATCAGTACCAGATATAAAAATACACTATTTTATAACAGCAATAGGAACTTTAATACAACCAAAAAATATCATCTTCGCGTCCAGAATTTTAAATAACAGAGTATGCATTCATACTCTGCCTCCACATTGTAGAAACACACTGTAACCCCTTGGTGTTTTAATTTTCTCTCCCCTTAAAGCATATTGAAATGCCGCTATAGACTTATAGTTGCTAAACCATCCTGGTAAACCTATTTCAATATACCAGATAGCACAATGTGTAGGAGAGGCACACATGAAAGCATTGACACCTACTAATATTCTCTCAGGTTTTAATAAAACGGGAATTTTTCCCCTTAATAGAAATTTTTTCTGAAGCTGACTTCATTGGCAGTTCTCTGACTGACAGACCAAATGAAACTGAACAACAAAATCCACAACCAGAGTCGACAGAAATATCTAGTGTGCTTTCCGATCAAGTTATATCATCCTCATCGAAGACACCTGAAAATTAAGAAGAATCCCCACCTAGGACACCTGAAAAACTGATAATGTCTCAAAACTCTAAGTAAATAGTATCATCTGCGAATTTAAGTTCTTTCATCTTCCCTCATAAGTTTAAAGGATTTCCAAAAGCAGAAAAGAGAAAAGGTGTGAAGGCAAGTAAAACTAAAAAGAGTGTATTTTAACTAACATACCTGACTTGAATCAGTTAAAACTGCAAGCAACAACCAAAAAAATGACTCATCAGAATAATAAACGAATTAAGGTCAATTTAAATAAGGTAAGCAGCTCAGCACCAAAGCAGAAAAAAAAATAAACGAAGTGAGCACTTCATTTGAGGAGAGTGAAGAACTAATCAATTACGATGATTCTTCTGGCGATGAATGTGAAAATTTACAGTTGGAAGATGATTATGGCATTGATGCTAGTACAGAAATTTCTATTGATAGTTTTGTATTAGTGAAATTTGAAAACAATATATTTTATGTTGCTAAAGTTCTCAAAACATTAGACGTTAATGAATTTAAAGTATCATTTTTAAGAAAAAGTCGTAAACTTCAAGGCTGCTTTATTTTTCCTTTAGTTGAAGAGATTGCTCCAGTAACAAGGTCAGACGTTGTATCAATTGTTCCAAAACCAAAAACTGTAGATCAAAAAAACAAGCGTCTTGCATCTTATTTCAAATTTAATGTAAAGTGTGACAGTATTAAGATCCGTTAAAATTTTCTTTCATTTTAGTATTGTAGCTGTAAAATTGCTATTTTCAATGATAAAAACTACACTCTTTGTACTTACTTTAACAAATTATTGAAATAATACCACTTGACTTATTGTGTACCACTACTTGACTCATTGTGTACCACTAATGGTACACAATGAGATAGATGTAGACGGTTAGAAAAATAATCATAGATTTTGTTTCTTCACTCATGAGGGAATATTTATTTCAGATTATATTCAGGAAATCATCATATTGATCATTGATATGATTAACTCAGTTTGTAGACAAATTTAAAAATGTCAATATCACAAATAAAAATGTGCTTTTTGTCTCATTGTGTTCTACCCTCCCCTATAATATGAAGTTACTAAGCCCTTTAGGATATTCAAAAATTGGACAAAACACCTTATAACTCCCAAAAACCATATTTTTCAGGGTTTTTAAGAATTTTTTGCGGTTTTTTTTAAGATCGATACAACCTCAATAAATATTTTTATTTTTTATTTTTAATGTGAATAAAAATGCAATTTAACCCGCCCTTCCTCCCTCTAACCCAAAAAACGTAATTTTTTTGTTTTTATTTATGTATGTCATATATAATTTAAAGTAACTGAGTCCTTCAGGAGATTAAAAAATTAGACGAAACCCCTTTAAAACCCCAAAAACTATGTTTTTGAGGCCTCCTAAGGGTTTTTATAAGATTATATTATCATAATATTTGAGGTTGATACATCCTGATTTAATATATCTCCAATTTATATTTAAAAAATATATAAAAAAATAACCATTTCAGGACTTAAAGAAGTAAATGCCAACCATCGTGTACCCGAATTCGGGAGATTTTACTGTATTTGCCCAACTTTTTTACCTTTCTACATTATTAAGCAGCATGTTTTTTAAATTTATATAAAATAACACAAAACGATAGTTTTTATATTCAAAGAAGCTAGAAATTTCTTGAAAAATGCGAAAAGTCCGGTTTTAAGTGTTTTTGGGGATTTTATTTGCTTTGTAAAATCCTTTCTTATGATTTATGAAGAAAAGTACAAAAAGTTAAATTCAGTAAAAACTCCCCAATAACACTGGAAAACCTGTTTTCCGCATAACCTATGGTTGTATTCGCTTCTTTGATGACTGAATTTTTTTTTCATATATTTTTTGAATATGAATTAAAGACGCATTGATTCAGATTGTAACGATCACAAAAATATGAGTAAAATCACAAAACTCGCAAAAACCCTGAAAAACACAGATTTTTTGGGGGTTTAAAGGTGTTTTTCCCCATTTTTAAATGTCCTAAAGGACTCAGCTACTTCGAATTATACATAGTCCATTAAAAAAACTTGATAAACATTTAATATATTTTAAAGTTAATAAAATAGATCAATAGATTCTTTTACTTTTATTTTACTACCAATTCGCATTAACTTTTTTTTGTTGTTTGAAATGTTCTAAACGGTTGGCATTCCTTTCCTCAGGTAGCTTAGTTTCCTTCATGGATGTGTTAGTTGTTGCTCTGGAAACCTTGGAGTCTTCTAACATTATTGCCAGAAATTGGTAGCATTGCTCCTATAGTGACCCTTTCCCAAGTTAATATGCTCCTTTTCTAACTTAGCTGCACCGTACTGAAGTCGACCAATAGTCAGAAATACATATATACGGTTGCCTTCCATCTTATAAATATATTTTATTATATTTTTTTCTTTGTTGCGAGCTATGCCATTACCTTTTACCTTTATTTTACTATCAACTCGCATTAACCCTTTTTTGTTGTTTGAAACGTTCTAAACGTTTGGCATTCCTTTCCTCAGGTAGCTTAGCTTCCTCCGTGGATGTGTTAGTTGTTGCTCTGGAAACCTCGGAGTCTTGTTACATTATTGCCACGTATTATATAAATATTAGAATGATTGCAAGATATAATATAATGGTCCAAATGCTGGGAATGTGGTAATTTTTTCTTTCTTCCATGATGGGTGTGATTCTGTTTGTGGGATTTTTTTCAAATTTTAAATTCTTCAAAGTTATTTTCATAGGTGAAATGCTTAATTCTTTGAATTTTAATTTTGGCTCGGTGATTAAAATTGGTTGTCCAAAGGTTCGATCTTGGAACAACAATTCTTGGTTTCTGAAAAGGATTGTACACTGTGTATTTGCGATCAGAAAGATGCCTGTCAGTGTTTTAATTTGAGTCCCTTCAGAGCATTTAAAAGATAATTTTTCCTCCATAGGAAATATTGCTAAAAATTGGTTCATCTCAGGTATGATTTCGATGTGATTGCCTTGGATGTCTGCCTTAATATATTGAAAATCACTGTAGTTTTCTCGTAAGATTATTTCCGGTTCGCATAGGTGTTCTTGGTTATTTTGTAGACGGCTTGGACATTGGAAAATTTTACCGTGGGTGCAGATGTCGTTGAGAGGTATTATTGTATTTTTATTTTTTAACAAATATCTTGTATTAGGTATTATTATTGCAAAATCTGACTCAATTTGTGTGGGTATAGGTATAAATAATAAGGATCAAAGATGTTCTCAAAATCGATAGGAATTGTCAGAAAATATTGAATTTGGTTTTCCTCTATTTTACAGGTGATTTCCAGAATGGATTCAAAATCTAAAATATTTTCGTGTTTTAATTCAAATGGTAATTGTGTTTTGTAAAATAAAGAGATTCTTTGTAATTCTCGAAATAGGTCACTAGATTTGATAATACTAGGGTGTAAGGTTTTGAGCTTACAAAAAGTAATAGAATTTTCTACAGTCTCCATTACATCAAGTATAGAATTATATGTGATAATGAGTTCATTGAACATGTCTTTTAGATAAATAACGTTCTCAGTTTTGGTTTGAAAATCGACAATATCTTTTATTTCAAAAATCTTTGTTTTAAGAATTATTTCATTTGTTTGAATATCTTGAATGGTTTTATTGAAGTTATCTATGATTTGTTGACTGAGGGAATATTGATTAAGTATCTGATGTTCTAATTTTTGTTGATTAGTTTTCAAATGTTCTAGTACAGTGGAACCTCGATTATCCGTCTCTCTATTAACCGTCCCCTCCGTTAACCGTCAGGGTCCATGCATAAGTTATATTGACAACATAAGTAAAAATCTGGTCATCAATTCATTTTGTTTGAGCATTGCGATAAGCCAAACGAAATTCGTTGAAATGTACACGTGAAGTTATGAAACCACCGCATCTTTTATGTAAATAATTATTGTTCTTATTCAGGGC